GTTTGTTTGTTTGTTTGTTTGCTATATATGGCCTTCTTTTCGCTATTGCTTTGTATCTACCTATCATATATGACCACATTGCAGAATCTACTAACCTTGATTGGACAGTATTCAGCACCAGGAACAGATATCACGTCATCAGGATATTCCACGTGATCTGCATTATTCAACTCACATGACCTTATAACTCCAAATACTGGACCTAAGTTATATGACACACATCTGTCGTCTATGAAGCACTGGTGCTGACATTCCTCTAGGCCTTGTGCTAGCATACGGATGGTCTTGATCACGTGACCTGTCAATGATTTGTCTTGCTCACATTCGAGATACTGTAGGTCTCTACAGCCACCTTCACCTGTGAAAGTAAAGAATAACTTTGAGTGAAAACGACAACGGCAAACTCGAGGTCCCTCTATAGCTGGCTTTAGCCAACTGATCTGAAATAGTAACGTAGAAATGAATGAACGTCACTGCAAAATTGCAATGGAGGTGTAATGAAGCCTGCGAATAATTAAAATTGACCAGCGAAAAATAAAAACATGTTGGTCATTGCAATAAAACTATAAAACTCATGAATTCTAGCGTCACTGTTATCAAGCGCGTATTAGCAACGCTACTTTTTTACTATTTGGTGACCTGCAAACCCGTGATTTCTAGAGGGAAAGTGACACCACAGTTTTGAGATTTTCTAGATTCTGATTGGCTAACATTTTAATCTCAGATCAGCTGTGTATTGTAACGTAACAGTAACTACACGTTCTGCTTGGACGAATGGAAAGCCATTTCAATGTTACGGCATGTCTTGCCACATCCGCAAAAGTCGCTCTATAAAAGAACCCGCCCCGACAACACCAAAACTATTAATGAAAATTGGGGAATAAAAAAATCAGATAACGTTGTCATTTTTGGAAAACATCTATTTTATTGAATAATAAGAATTTGTATAATTTGAAAAAGAATAAAAAGAGAAAAAAATGGGAGATATGAAACTGAAAGAAAGCCTGAAAGACTGGAATGAATAATCAACAATACAATATTCTTCTGTAATGAGTATCACATTAAAATTAGTATCGAGTTGATTTGAAATAGTGACGTAGAATTGACGTACATACCTAACATACATACATAATTTTTATTTAAACACGGATGTCTTATCATACAAAATGCTCTTCCTAAGAGCCGTGTTAAATTTACAACAGAATAATAAATATAAATTGTATAACTAGAAATAAAAATAAGAATATATAAATGTATATATATAACTTATAAGATATCAATAATTGGAAATGTCAAAAATATTCAATATTCTGTCAGCTGGGGCACAATACGACCTCACCTTAGTAAAATTGGTAAAGGGGGAGAGTCACTGCAAAACCGAGGTGTCATGAAGCCTGCAATAACTGCTGACCGGCGAACAATAAAAAGCTGTCCATTACCATTGTAAATAACAACATAGGACTCATTATTTATTGTKGTAACGGGTTATAAACGTCTTATTAGCAGCGTTTCCACACCCATTCGCTGGCCTGGAAATACGTAATTTCAAAAAGGAAAAGTGACATCTCAGTTTTGCAAACTTTCTCGATTCTGATTGGCTGACATTTTTATTCAATTCAGCTGGACACTTATTGAATGTGGATCTTCACGCTAATGAGTTCTGTCCTAAAAAACCATTGTAAGGAGTGCTACCAGTAGAAACAGCACATTAAGTGAAGAAAATCAATTACAAAAGAAAAAGTGAATGCGACCGACGTATGTTAAGAAATCACTTATTTT